TAGAAATTTTGGAAGTATAAAAAGAAATCACTTTTTCCCTCAAAGTCAGAATTAGTTGTGTGACATCGAGTTCAGTACTTTTCCTCTCAGAATCTCTTTTTCATCAGATAGATGAGTGAGGATTGGCTGCTCTGCTCATCCCTAGCAGGGTACTGTTCTCCTTGGTGGCCTGATGTCTGACACACATGCCACAGCTGCCATGGGAAAGTGGGTACCAGGATGCCTGAGCTTCTTTCTGATCCCAGAGATGTTCAGAGGCGAGAGGATCCAACACCCTGGATCCCAGAACTATCAAGGACTTGGGGTATAGATGGTAAAAATAAACTTTTTTCATTTGAACTAATTTAAACAACATCCCAACACAGCACACATAAACACAGGCGCACACATAGTTCCCTGTCACACTTAGCTCTACATTTGCCCCTTAAGTTTTAACCTTTCTCCCACAAGATTCAACCTTTGTCCCACAAGTTTCCAAAAGGGCTTATTTCCTAACAATTTCTGTGTCTGGCTGCCAGAGCACCCCCTAGAGGTAGTGGATCTGGTTGAGTGGTGTGATGGCTAGTCTTGGTTGTCAACTTGACCACATCTGGAATTAAATTAAAACCCAAATATGGGGCATATCTGTGGGGGGATTTTTGCTTAATTTGAAATGAGAAGACCCACTTCTAATGTGGATCTTTGAGGTGGGAAAATATGCCTTTACTACAGATCTTCTGAGGAGGGAAGCCCTGACACTAACCTAGGCCATGCCTTCTGCTGGAAGCCCATATGAGGACACAGAAGAAAGAAGTTTTTCATCTTTCCCTGCTTGCTTTGACCTCGATAGCAGGTCTATTCCTTCCCTGGCATTAGAGCCTCCTTCTTCAGGATTCCAGTATATACTGAAGAGCAAATGAGACATCCAGCCTTGTGGACTGAGCAGCTACTGGAGGCTTCAGTCTTCTATTCACAGGCAGCCATTGTTGTAGTAGCTGAACCACAGCCTGTGAGTCATTCTAGAAATCTTTTTTCAATATATAGAGGGAGATTTGTTCTGTAAGTTCTATTACTCTAGAGAACACTGACTAATGCAGAGGGGCAATTCTCTCCACTACCCACTTTCTCCTTAAGCAAGCTATTCGCACCCCTGTACAAGGTTTCTTTGGACTAGCTCTGTTGTCTGCCTGCTAGACATGTGGGTGGCTGTGGCCCCACCTGGGTGTATTACAGTCCTGGGTGGGTGTTGCTGACTGTCCTACAAAACTCCACATCCTTCCACAGCCCAACAGCTACAATGGGGATGTGTACCCAGAGCTGGATCATGGCATCTTCCAGATGTTTAAATTCTTTGTTTTAAGATAGATGTCTGTATTAATGTGATTTTTTTAGCCTGTTAATGAAGAGATGACTCCATCTCTGTCCACTATTGTCTCAAGTTCCTGTTAGGATTATGGAACAGGAAGGATGCTGGCCCTGAGGAGCTGACCCTGGGTCTCACTTTGGAGAGAGGACTTCAGAACAGCTGTCATATTTCAAACCCTGACTTTCTCTTGTGGTTTTTGAACTAGTCTCTTTCTATCTCCTTTTAATTTCATGTGAATATGGGAAGGCTTGGGGGGTGGCACTACCTGGGATCCTAACACTTGGGTGGGGCAGACCTAAGATTTGGAGTTCACGGTTCTCCTAGTCTTCATAGTGAGTCTGAGGCCACCCTGGACTGGGTGCATACTTGCAAGGTTTGGGCAAGAACTCCGAGTCATCAGTTCCAAGGACAGAGTGCAGTTCTGAGAGTGAGCCACCATTATCTTCAGCTCTTACCATATCAACAAGTCGTTCACTCTCATTTTGGTCAGGTCCCAGGAGGAGCTGATGCCTCGGACCCACACTGCTAAACCTGTTTTCATTCCTTCCTCTGCTTCAGGCAATTTCAGTGCAGATTGTGTCTCTTTATGAAGTCTTCCCCACCCCAAAGACTACTAAGGACTGGTCAGAGGAAGGAATGAGCATCTTCACACAGTGCCTATGTTAGGTGTTAACACCCTTTAGTCCAGTCCTTCTACTTCTACAAATAGCATAAGGAAATAATCTCAAATGCGGGCACTAACAGGTAAAGAGAACATTCTTTGCATTACTATTTGCATAATGATTAGGAACAGCACAAGGTCCAGGAGTCAGGAAGAAGAGCAGATGTCAAAGGCAGCACACAGCAGGACCAGGGTCAGGTAGGACTCCAAGTCCTGATAGGACAAGGACATCACAGAAAGAAGGAGGGTGTGGTCCCTGGGAATCACAAAGGACCCCAAGAACTTACTAAGATGAGGACCCAGTGCTTGGCACAAGGCAGTGCTGTGGAAACAGAAGAAGCATTTATAACATACATACACATACAATGATGCACACATGTAATATAAAGAGGAGGGAATGCAGTTGTGTTTTTAAGATAGTGGAGATCAGTTTTCTGAAAGTGGGATGTGGATTAGCATGTCCCGGGTCCAAGTCCTCACTAGTCAACACTGACAATTCATACACATTAGCTAAATATGTGCCTGTGGACTAATACAGAGGGTCACTTCTCCCCATTACTCACTTTCACGTTAAGCAAGTGACTCTGACCGTACCCCCACCCCTGTACAAGGTTTCTATGGAGCTGGGAATCTGCCTCATAGCTATATTGCACCTGCTATACAAAAAGCCCCTTTGTTCTCAGTCAATTGCTCTGGAATTCCAATTGGGCTGTGAGAGAACGGGGGTGGGGGGGTGGGGGGGTTGGGGGGGTGGGGGGGTGGTCTGAGCTTCATTTGCACAAGAAATAAAGCTATGCAACTAGCTGTCCCCTAGGTGCATAGCTCCAAAAGTTGTTTACCATAAGTCAAGAGACTGTTTGCTGTTATGGCCTAGGATGCTTGAGAAGTATTTCAGATAAATACACCGTGAGGAGTTCTTGGAAACACACGCAGCATACAAGAAAATCATTGTAGGAACCAGCTAAATATATATACAAAAGCTAAAATATCACCAAGACTCCTTAAGCCATGGCTTGACCTTCAGGAACTGTTGTGCCCAGATCGCAAACCCCAGAGAGACCACCAAAGACAAGCATGCTGGAATGCAAAAGCAAGGTTTAATTCTGGATATATAATACAAGCCTAGGCAGGGACTTCGTCCAACAGATCCAATGCAGTGGAGGCTGGAGGAAGTGCCCACCTGTCTGCAAGATCAGTTTTTAAAGGAAAAAATCACAAGGTTACATCATTTAGGGGTGCAAGTATGGGTACAATTCTGATTGGCTCGCTTCTAGGGGCTTCTAGAAATCATGCCTTAATCTTACTTCTAAGGGAGTGGTTACCCGCCACCATTTCTCATTGGCTGCCCTCAAGTGGGGACATTTCTGTGGTCAGTTACCCTGGAAACCAGGGAGAGGACATTCCATAGTCTGGCAGTCATTACCTCGTGACTACTTTGTGACTCTGTACTTTTACACTTCCTGGTTTCTAGAATCTGGACTGACTTGTTTCAGTAACTATTGGCCTATTCCTAGAAGGAGAAATCTTAGGCCTTAGTTTTAAGGTGAAAGCATTTTGGTCTTATTTTTAAGATGGCTCATTTTGGTCTCACAGAACGTCCTTGACCTTTCCAAGTAGTAGGTTTTGTTGTAGTAGCTGAATTCCATTATATTTTCCTGTGGCTTGCAGTGTTGTGCCCATTTTGAGACCCCCAGAGACCACCAAGGAGCCGGTTTCTGATGCAAGCACATAAGAGTTCTTTTATTGTAAGGTTCGAACATGGGCCACCCCACAGCAAATGGAGGGAAATGCAGCAGCAGCAGCAGCAGCAGCAAGCCCATGTGTAGAGAGAGTTTTTATAGGGAAAAACCACAAGCCAGGAATTACATGCTTTGACAACTTGGAATTGAGTAGAAGGGATATGGAGCAAGGTGATTTTTTGAAACTATTGGTCCAGACTTTGGGGGAAAGCACATTTAAAACCATTGGGTTAGACCTTTTGGTGGAAAACCACAACTTGCGGAGCAGGATTATCTGGGCTGCTCAATAGGATTGTCTGTTGTTTTAAAAAAAAAAAAATGATAAACGGCACTGTTACCAGTGAAAAGATCATGAGACACAACAAAACCCAGTATCAGAACTTTATTAGAAGGAAGGGTGGGGGAACAGAAGAGAGTAACCAGGCCTGGGGGAGACACACCGGCAGAGAGAGAGAGAGAGATAGTGGGGGAAGGAGAGAGCAGAGAAGAGAGGGGAGTAGTCTGTGTCCAGTTTTAAGGATTCCCCTACACATGAGCAAGTAGGCTCACAGAGCTACACCACACATGGGCTGATTGTGTGACCACGATGTGAGCATTTGCGCAATCAAGCAGGGCACTGATGACATAGGACGGAGGACCCCTTGCTTAGCTACTAAACTGCGCATGTGTGTGGTTATCAAGTTGGAGTGGCAGAATCCTAACATTATCTAGATAGCTTCAAGGGTTATAACCCGCAGACAGAATGTCTGCAGGAGCACACTGCCCTGTATATGTTGGAGCTGTCATGGCACATTCCTGAGGTCCTTCCTGGAACTGAGGACAGCAGGTGTCTAAGATGGTGGCCCTACCCTAAGATGGAGTCTGTATTGCCTTCACAGCAGCAGGCTCCATCTCTCATTGTGCTCACGTCTGTTGTTTCTCCACCTCTGTCTCCTCATCTGACACCTTCTGCATTGTTCCCAACAAGACAAGATTCCTCTGTCTTGGCTGGAGAGAGGGCAGCAGGGCTGGAGCCACAGATAGGGTTCTTTAAATAGCAGTCACAGAGCCAGGGGAGCAGACAGGCTTTGGGTCAAGTTCTTCTGGTCCTTTGCAGTCACCATTGAGAGAACTGTGGGTCACCAGATCCCTGGTCACAGCAGCTGTCCCCATTATGTTCCACAGGTTGTTTTTTCCTCCTGTAGCCTGGATGCCTGGTGAGAGTAAAGAAAACCTGTCAGGATCTCCTGAGTGACACCAAGACCCAGCAGCTGCCATGGGCTCCCCAGGTAACCAGTCTTCTTCTCTATTCCTGCTCATGGCCTAGGACTGCCAGAGCCTCCCTGCTGAGTGTCTGCTGAGGAGTCAAGGATACAGGAGATGAATCCCAAGGGAGAGCATAGAGAGTTTCCCAGTCCTGGGTCAGACAAGTCCCCACTTCCTATCTTGACTTGGGGTGCATTCTCAGGAGTCACCTCCTGGAAAATGGAATCCAGGAGGGGAGCAGGGAGGAATGAAGGGAACAGGAGGCGGAAAGGTCTAGCCCCCTCATGGAGGTTTGCTCTCAGAGATGCTGGGGCACTGTTCCTGAGGAGGCAGCCCACCCTGCTCCAGCTCAGGAACCCACCTGTTCTAACTGCCTCAGCAGGAAGTTACTGCACCCCAATGAGACCTTGTCCACAGTCCATCTATGTTACCTGGGGACTCTCACCTCAAGTCACCTATACCATGAGGGCATGTGTCCCCATGTGTGCAGGCAGGCTCCAGCCTGCTGCATCCTCTGACTACACTCCATTAATTCCAAGTGACCCAATTCCCATCCCAAAGCTGTGTTAGGGCACCTGCCCTTCACTGCCAGGACCAGAGCTTGTTTATCAGGTGTGCCTACCTCAGGCAAGGCCTGATTTTTTTTTTCTTTTGTCATGTAAAAAAATCTGAAGTTGAAACAAAAAACAGAAAACAAACAACAACAACAACAAAAACAGGAACTAAAAATTTCCACTCAGGAGTGACTCTGTGCCCAGGAACACCCTACACCAGCCCTGGATCCACACCAATCTCCAAGCCCCGTGTTCTCTGGCTTCCTCCCCAACTCTGCTGCTTAGGCAGTCGGGTTATTTGCTCAGCACTTGGCCAGCCCAAACAGCACAGCAGTCATGTCAATGAATAAGAGAGAAAAAACTACAGAGATGTGTCCTCAGTCAGCACGGCTCTCATTAAGGAAATAGACAACACATAGTCAGGCAGAGGGACACGTGTTCATCATGGGAATGTAAGTTAGTCTGACCACTGTGGAAATCAGTATGGAGATTCCTCAAAAATATGAAAATAGAACTTCTGTAAGACCCAGCTCCCCTGCTCAAGGGTGAACACCCAAGGGAATCTCCATCAATGTGTTAGAGAGGTGCTGGGGCATCCTGGTTTTATCAGCGTGATTCACAGTAACTAAGATATGGAATGAAGAATCGTGCACATCCACAGACGGATGCATAAAGACAATGTGGTGCACTACCTGTGGAATTTCATTCAGCCTTGAAAATGAACGAAAGTATCTTGTCTGCAGGAAAATGGATGGAACTGTGGGTCAGCGTTTTGACCAAAATAAGTCAGATTTAGAAGACAAATATTGAGTGTTTTCTTTCAAATATGGAACCTAGATCTCTCTCTCTCTCTCTCTCTCTCTCTCTCTCTCTCACACACACACACACACACACACACACACACACACACACGCAGGATAAAAGAAGAGGGAGGACTATTTAGCCAAAGGCAGACTAGTAACAGGAGATGGTACAGAGTGAATATAGTCAATTTACATAAGCTTGAATGAATATGGCTTTTTGAAACCCATCATTTTGGACAATAAATAGAGTTAATAAAAAAAAAACATTCAATAGAATAAGGAAGGAAGGAAAGTTTAGAGGCAGGGAGATCAGAGAACCCAGCAGGCCGTGGTATTCTTAAGGAAGGCTAGGGAGCACGTGGATTTCAGGGTAAATATTCCCTTTTACTAAATGGGGCAGCCTGAAAACCTTGACAGGTCTGGGGTGCCAGCCCCTGACACATGAGGAAACCACAGGTCAGCGTGGAGGGTTCCACCTACCAATGACCACCATATGCTGCCGATCTTAGCATTTCCATCAGAGCAGGAATCCTCTTCACTGACAGTTGATCTTAGTAGTGTGACATTTGAAATGTCATTTTCAAATGTAAGAGGCACACCCACCAGGCATGCTATAAATAACTCGTCCTCACTCTTTTCTTAATACCATAACCTCCACATCCACATTGTTGGCAACTCACTTGGGCTGGAACCTGACCTCAAGTGGCCTGGGAATATTTGCGGCCATTACACTGTGGGTCTCATTTCATGGAAAGTCCCCATGTTCTGCTGCCATCGTGAATAGATGCCTGGACTGCTGGGACTGCCCCTGTATGCCTCCTCCTTTCTTCTTCCTTTTCCATCTCTCCCTCCTACTCTCTCTCTCTGTCTTCCCTCTCTCTTCTCTTTCCCTCAAACAAAGTCTTGCTATGTCACCTAAGCTGCTCTCAAACTCACAATCCTCCTGCCTCATTTTCGATGTGCTGGGATTATGGGTCTACACCATCACTTCAGGATTGCATTTCTCACAGATTAGAAATGCTAATTAATTGAATATTTAAGAGTAGCTAATTAATTGAATATTTCAGAGTAGGTAGTAGTGATAGTGAGAACTGAATTTTGAACATTCTTTTTTCTAATGATTTATTTTCATTTTATGTGAATTTGGATTTTTCCTGATTGTATATCTATATGAGAGGGTTGGATATCATGATGCTGGGTTTACACACAGTTATGAGGCACCTGTGAGTGATGGGAATTGAACCTGGGTCCTCTGGAAGAACAGCCATGGCCCTTAACTGCTGAGCCATCTTTCCAGCCCTATTTTGATCATTCTTAACTGAATGAAAAATGTTTGAACTAATATACTAATTTTCCATGAAATATCATACTGTGTTACATATGTACATATAATTACAATGGGACAATTAAAATTAAAAATTCAAAATCACTTAAAAGTATTGTGAAAGATTTAGATTCTGAATGAGTTTAGTGTTTGCATGTATATGTGTGTGCATATGGACATGCATAGAATAATCCATGAATATTCACTCTTCCTCTGCTGTTTCCTGTGGTGTTATCAATTCCATTTCCTTTTTATGTTTTTGTTTTTCAAGACAGGGTCTCACTTTCTAGCTCTAGTTGTCCTGGAACTCACTACGTAGACCAGCGGAACGTGGAACTCACAGAGATCCACCTGCCTCAGTCTCCACTGTGCCCGACTGCATTTCCTTTTCAAGATTCTTCTATCGGCTCTGTGGACCATTCCTTCATTTATTCATTATGAGTCAGTTTCTAAACTGGTGTTACTCACCTTTGTCATTGCTGTAACTAAGGACAACATTATTTTGCTTATAATATTGCACATTTATTATAATTTTGCATATTTTGGTCCATCCTGGAAGGGAAGCAGGAGGAGAGCTCACATCATGGCACACAAAAAGCTGCAACATGAAAGGGCCAAGACAAGATGCCCATCAGCCCCAAAGACTCATTCCAACTGCCCTCCTGACATCAAACAGGCCCCAATTCCCATGGTGTCGCAGCTCAGTCTTTGAACCACTCATTAGCTCAGAGCAATTATGCTCTACTATAACTGGAAGCCCCCCACAACTGCCCAGATAAGATCTACTGATTGCCAAGATGTTCATTAGTCCAGTGGATTGAAACTCGGGATTAATAACTAACCATTCTCGGGTCAATAGTCACGTTTGAGGCTAGAGCAGGTCAGTGGTTAAGAGCACTTGCTGCTCTTGTAGAGGACCTGGGTTGAGTTGCCAACACCCACATCAGGTTCACAGCAGTCTGTAACTGCCACTCCAGGGGACCAAGGCCCACCTTGGGCACCACACACACACACACACACACACACACACACACACACAGTGCAAAGACATACATACAAGCAGGCAAATATTCCTATACATAAAATAAAAACCGAGGGAAAAGTCACATTCAAGGTCCATGACACAGGTACACTGTAAATGGAAGTCATCAATAGAATCTCCTCCCTCTTCCTGGGTATTAGGAGCTCACTTCCTACCTGGTCTTAACTAAAAATGATATGATATGTGTCTCTGCAAAGCACCATGACACAGCTCTGGTACCTTGGTCTTCTCAGGATGCCATCACAAAGCTATACTGGGTAGGTGATTTAAAAAGAAAAGACCTCTTCTCTCACTGCCCTGGAGTCCAACATCCACAATCAGAGTGTGGCACGTTGGCACTGCTGAGCTCTGTCTTCCTGGTGGGCAGAGAAGTCTGTACCCTGTGCTGGCCCATGGGCTCTCTCATGTGTCTGGAGAGAAGAAGAGAGGCAGGGAAAAAGAGAAAGGAGGGGGGAGATAGAGAAGTAGGGAAAGGGTGGGAGGGAGTTTCTTCTGGCTGCTATAAGGACCCTAATGCTATGGGTTAGGAACCTCACTCACAACCTCACTTGGTTCCCTAACAACTCTATCTCCAAATACAGTCACTAGTAGTCAGAGCCTTTACAAATGAATTAAGGGACACAACTCAGCTCCTACCACTAGTGACACCAAAATTTACCTCAAAGGACAGATGCTCAGAACCACATTTACAAAGCTAGTTCCCGAAGCCATTCAAGCACCAATGCACAGTCCTCTAACCATATTCCTTTTCCTTCCCATCTAGAGAGAAAAGGCTTCATTGGGTCTGTGGTTGAGTACCTCTGGGACACAAGGAGCAAGGAGTATCTGCAGCTCCAGCTGACTGAAGTGGTAGAGTGGCAACAGCCTGTGGAAGAAGCTGCTTGGTCCAGTTTCAATCCAATTAATTTAATGTTGGTTGTCGGCTTGCTGTATATTGCATATCTTATATTTAGGTATGTTCCTTGTATCCCTGATCCCTCCAAGACCTTTATCATGAAGGGGTGTTGGATTTCGTCAAAGGTTTCTTTAGCATCTAATGAGATGATCATGTGGGTTTTTTTCTCTCATTTTCTTTGTATGGTAGATCACATTCACAGACTTTTGTATGTGGAGCCATCCCTGCATCACTGGGATGAAGCGTAGTTGATCATGGTGGATAATTTTGTTTTGAGATGTTCTTGGATTCAGTTTGTCAGTATTTATTGAGTGTTTTCACATCAGTGTTCATGTGGGAGATTGGTCTGTAATTCTCTGTCTTTGTTGCATTTTTGTGTGGTTTGGGTGTCAGGTTAACTGTAGCCTGATTTTAGAAACTGTACCTGGATTTCTTTTTGGCCTCTGCAAGACTGAACTCAGGTCTACTTTGCATTGCAAATGCTTTACCAACTTAGTCACATCCTCGGGCTGCATCTAGGGCTTTAAGGGAGAATTTTCTGTTGTCCTCAAGAAACAGGCCAGCATGAAGTATGTGCCCAGCACATTGTAGGTGTTCATTGAAAGCTGATTTTTTACAAAAGAGTTTATTTTAATTTCTGTGTGTCCGTGTGTGTGTGTGTGTGTGTGTGTGTGTGTGTGTGTGTGTGTGTGTGTGTGTATTTCTTGCACTTGAGTGAGCCTATCTTACAAGCTGTCTTCCTCACTCAGTCATTTTCTCCTGTTACAGGAAATGGGAAGCTTCCTTGCGTGAAGCTCCTGGTGAGATGGTTGCAGATCCTGATGGAGAAGATGTGAATGAAGAGGAGCTCCAAAGTGACCTGCAGGACAAGACCAGGAGGTACTCAGTCACACACTCAATCAAGCTTTTTCTCTCTAGTTGGAACAAACAAAGAACAGGGTTAGGGGACAGTGCATAAGAGCCTGAATGGCATTAGGGACAGATGTTTAAATGTGTTTCTGAGCATCTTTCTTATGAGATTTGTGTTTCAGAGAGTAGGTCCAAACCCATGGCCTTGTGCTGATCCGCAAGTGGTCCACTACTGAGCTATATCCCCAACCCCCACATGAGATATTTCAATGGTGTCACTACTGGTAAGAGACTGAGTTATGTCTCTAAATTCATTTGGAAAAGCCCTAAGCCCAGGTGACTGTATTTAGACATTGAGCCTTTAAGGGACCACAGTATTGAAATTAAGAGAAGGCATGAGTGAGGTCCCTAAACCAATTGTTAGCCATGAAGGCCAAAAAGGACATCAGACGCCCTTCAGTTTAGAGCCACCGGGTGTGGGTTCTGGGAACCAAACTCACTTTTTCTGGAAGACAAGTACACGATCTGAATGGAGGAGCCATCTCTCCAGCCCCTTTAAGAACAATTACCTTTATTTACTTGGACATCATCAATTTGACTAGACTGGATGACCAGAGAACATCAAGGATCCTGGTGACTCTGCATCCCTCAAATAGAGTTTGGAGGCCATGTCCAGTAGCTGGCTTTTTATGTGGACTCTGGAAGACTGAATTAGACCTTGAATGGCATCAGTGACACGCTGTTTAAAAGGTTTTTTTTTCTTTTTTTATTTAAGTTTTTTTTTTCATTTTACATACCAACAACAGATTTCCCTCCCATCCATCCTCTGACTCCCCTGCCTGCCCAGCCAGCCTCCCAATCCACCCCTCATCCCCGACTCCAAAAGTGTAAGGTCTCCCATGGGGAGTCAGCAAAGCCAAGTACATTTAGTTGAGGAAAAACCAAGTCTCTCCCCTCTTAAACAAGGCTGATCAAGGAATCCCACCATAGGTGATGGGCTCCAAAAAGACAGCTTATGCACCAGAGATAGAGCCTGATCCCATTGCTAGGGGGCCCTCAAACAGACCAAGCTTTACCTGTCTCCAGTATGCAGAGGGCCTACTCTGGTCCCATTCAGGTTATGTAGCTGTTAGTCTAACAGTCATGAATATCAACAAATTTGGTTCACTTGTCTCTGTAGATTGCCCCATCCTAATCTTGACTACCACTCTGCTCAAATAAACCCTCTTCCTGCTTCTTAACTGGACGCCTGGAGCTTGGCCTGGAGCTTGGCTATGGATCCCTGCATCTGCTTCCATCACTTACTGGATGAAGGTTCTATGATGACAGTTAGGTTATTCACCAATCTGATTACTGAAGTAGGTCAGTTCAGGTACCCTCTCCATTATTGCTAGTAGTCTAAGCTAGCATCATCCCTGTGGATTCCTGGGAATTTTCCTAGCCCCACAATTGCCCCTACCCCAAAATGTCTCCCTCAATCCAGATATCTCTTTCTTCATTGCTCTCCCACTCCATCCTTCCGCCAGCTCAATCATACCTTCCCTCATGTTCTCATCTCTGAAATCCTCCCCTCTATTGCCTCCCCATCACCCCCAGTTTACTCAGGAGATATCATCTATTTCCCCTTCCCAGGGTGATCCATGCATGCTTCTAAGGATCCTCCTTCTTACCTAGTTTCTCTGGAGCTGTAGGTTGTAGTCTGGTTATCCTTTGCTTTACATCTAGTATCCACTTATGAATGAATACATACCATGTTTGTCTTTCTGAGTCTGGGTTACCTCACTCAGGATGATATTTTCTAGTCCCATCCATTTGCCTGCAAATTTCATGATGTCATTGTTTTTTACAGCTGAGTAATACTCCGTTGTGTATATGTTCCACATTTTCTTTATCCAAATTCTTTGGTTGAGGAGCATGGAAGTCATTTTCAGGTTCTAGCTCTACAAATAATGTTGCTATGAACATAGTTGAGCAAGTGTCCTTGTGGTATGATTGAGCATCCCTTGGTGATATGCCCAAGAGTGGTATCATTGAGTCTTGAGGTAGATTGATTCCCAATTTTCTGATAAACTGCCATACTGATTTCCAAGTCGGCTGTACAAGTTTGCACTCCCACCATCAGTGGAGGAGTGTTCCCCTTGTTCCACATCCTCTCCAACATAAGCTGTCATCAGTACTTTTGACCTTAGCTATTGTGACAGGTGTAAGATGATATCTCAGAGTCATTTTGATTTACATTTCCCTGATGACTAAGGATGTTGAGCAATACCTTAAATGTCTTTCAGCCATTTAAGAGTCTTCTGTTGAGAACTCTTTGTTTAGATCTGTAGCCCATTTTTTAATTGAATTGTTTGGTATTTTGATATCTTGTTTCATTAGCTCTTTATATATTTGGGAGATCAGCCCTCTGTCAGATGTGGGGTTGGTGAAGATCTCTTCCCATTCTGATGACTATGTATCATTTCCTTTGCCTTACAGAAGCTTCTCAGTTTCAGGAGGTCCCATGTATTAATTGTTGCTCTCAGTGTCTGTGCTACTGGTGTTATATTTGAAAAGTGATATCCCATGCCAGTTCATTCAAGCCTACTTCCCACTTTGTCTTCTATCAGGTTCAGTGTATATGGATTTATGTTGAGGTCTTTGATCCACTTGGACTTGAGTTTTGTGCATGGTGATAGATATGGTTCTATTTGCAATCTTCTGCATGCTGAACTTCATTATAAGAAAAATAAGAGGATGCATGTGTGAGGTTCAGCATATGGCCAGCACAAAATATGTGTCCATCATATAGTAGGTATTCATTGAAAGTTGATATTTTTACGAAAGGTTTTTATTTATGTATGTCCATTCGAGTGTGTGTGTGTGTGTGTGTATGTGTGTGTGTGTGTGTGTGTGTGTGTGTGTGTGTGTGTGTGTACTTCTTGAACTTGAGTGAGCTTATCTTACAAGCTGTCTCCCTCACACAGTTGATCTGTCCTGTTACAGGGAAAAGGAAATTTCCTTGCATGATGCTCTTGGCGAGAGGGTTGGAGATCCTGATGGAGAAGAAGAAGAAGAAGAAGAAGAAGAAGAAGAAGAAGAAGAAGAAGAAGAAGAAGAAGAAGGAGGAGGAGGAGGAGGAGGAGGAGGAGGAGGAGGAGGAGGAGGAGGAGAAGAAGAAGAAGAAGAAGATGTAGGTGAAGATGAACTCCAAAATGACCTGCAGGACAGGACATGGAGGTATTCAGCCACACACTCCATCAAGCTTTTTCTCTTTAGTTGGGAAAAAGAAAAGAACAAGGTTAGGGGACAGTGCATAAGTGCTTTAAAGGCATCAAAACCAGCTGTTTACATGTGTTTCTGAGCACCTGCCACATCAGTGGGTTTTTTTTTTTGGTGTTGTTGTTTTTTGTTTATTACAGAACTTAGGTCCAAACCCATTGCCTTGTGGTTGATACTCAAGCGTTCTACAACTGAATTAAATCTCCAACCGCCACATGAGATAATTTTAATGGTGTCACTAATGTTATGGACTGATTGGTGTCCTTAAACTCATTTGGAAAAGCCCTAAGCCTAGGTGACTGTATTTAGACATTGAGCCTTTAAGGGACCACAGTATTGAAATTAAGAGAAGGCATGAGTGAGGTCCTTAATCCACAATGTTATCTATGAAGGCCAAAGAGGACTCAGACCCCCTTCAGCTTAGGGCCACCAGGTGTGGGTTCTGGGAACCAAACTCACTTTTTCTGGAAGACAAGTACACGATCTGAATGGAGGAGCCATCTCTCCAGCCCCTTTAAGAACAATTACCTTTATTTACTGGGACATGATCAATTTGTCTAGACTGAATGACCAGAGAACACCAAGGATCCTCATGACTCTGCATCCCCAGAGACTAGAGACTATGTGCAGCACCTGACTCTTCTATGTGGACTCTAGAAGACTGCACTCAGTTCCAATGATTGCATGGCAAACACTCTACCAACTTAGCCACATCCACAGTCCCCTTCAGGACATTGTAGTGTGTCAACAGGGAGAATCTACTATTGTCCTCACGATACAGTGCGGTCATGTGAGAGTTCACAGGGAGTGTCACACACCAAGAAAGCTCTCATGGGAAAGAACAATTATTCTGATACAAGTTAACAATCAGGAAGATGCTGTTCAGGACAGTTGCTCTAAAGAAAGAGACAGAAGAGTTCTAGATATACATTCAGCTGGGGACTCTAGAGGACAAGGTGAGTGAGGGGCAGTAGACAGCAGAGAGTAGGGGCCCTGTGCAGCTGACCTCAGGAATCCCACCTGAGGGAAGTCAAGACCTAAGGCTCTGGAATTTAGACATGGGAACCTGATTGAGTATTGAGTATCAAAGGTAGGACAGTCTCACAACCTGACAGGATTCTTGACAAGCCTGGGCAGGGCACACCCATCATGTACAGGAAAGGCATGGAAAGCCAAGGTCAATTCACACTTGAAGGCAGTTTAGAAAAGCTTAAGTAAAGATGACCTAAGGAAAAATAGTTGTCAACATAAGCCTCTGTGTCCACAAGTTTGTAGGGCCTTATTTATATACAGAGCTCCAGGAGGGACCAGCTCTAAGGTTCTTCATTGCTCTCCCACTCAATCCTTACCCCAGCTCAATTATCCCTTCCCTCATGTTCTCATCTCCCAAACCCTCCCCTATATTGCCTCCCCATCACCCCCAGTTTACTCAGGAGATATCATCTATTTCCCCTTCCCAGGGTGATCCATGCATGCTTCTAAGGATCCTCCTTCTTACCTAGTTTCTCTGGAGCTGTAGGTTGTAGTCTGGTTATCCTTTGCTCTACATTTGTATCCACTTGTGAATAAATACATACCATGTTTGTCTTTCTGAGTCTGGGTTACCTCACTCAGGATGATATTTTCTAGTCCCATCCATTTGCCTGCAAATTTCATGATGTCATTGTTTTTTACAGCTGAGTAATACTCCGTTGTGTATATGTTCCACATTTTCTTTATCCAAATTCTTTGGTTGAGGAGCATGGAAGTCATTTTCAGGTTCTAGCTCTACAAATAATGTTGCTATGAACATAGTTGAGCAAGTGTCCTTGTGGTATGATTGAGCATCCCTTGGTGATATGCCCAAGAGTGGTATCATTGAGTCTTGAGGTAGATTGATTCCCAATTTTCTGATAAACTGCCATACTGATTTCCAAGTCGGCTGTACAAGTTTGCACTCCCACCATCAGTGGAGGAGTGTTCCCCTTGTTCCACATCCTCTCCAACATAAGCTGTCATCAGTACTTTTGATCTCAGCCATTGTGACAGGTGTAAGATGATATCTCAGAGTCATTTTGATTTACATTTCCCTGATGACTAAGGATGTTGAGCAATACCTTAAATGTCTTTCAGCCATTTAAGAGTCTTCTGTTGAGAACTCTTTGTTTAGATCTGTAGCCCATTTTTTAATTGAATTGTTTGGTATTTTGATATCTTGTTTCATGAGCTCTTTATATATTTGGGAGATCAGCCCTCTGTCAGATGTGGGGTTGGTGAAGATCTCTTCCCATTCTGATGACTATGCATCATTTCCTTTGCCTTACAGAAGCTTCTCAGTTTCAGGAGTTCCCATGTATTAATTGTTGCTCTCAGTGTCTGTGCTACTGGTGTTATATTTGAAAAGTGATATCCCATGCCAGTTCATTCAAGCCTACTTCCCACTTTGTCTTCTATCAGGTTCAGTATATATGGATTTATGTTGAGGTCTTTGATCCACTTGGACTTGAGTTTTGTGCATGGTGATAGATATGGTTCTATTTGCAATCTTCTGCATGCTGAACTTCATTATAAGAAAAGTAAGAGGATGCATGTGTGAGGTTCAGCATATGGCCAGCACAAAATATGTGTCCATCATATAGTAGGTATTCATTGAAAGTTGATATTTTTACGAAAGGTTTTTATTTATGTGTGTCCATTCGAGTGTGTGTGTGTGTGTGTGTGTGTGTGTGTGTGTGTGTGTGTGTGTGTACTTCTTGAACTTGAGTGAGCTTATCTTACAAGCTGTCTCCCTCACACAGTTGATCTGTCCTGTTACAGGGAAAAGGAAATTTTCCTTGGTGAGAGGGTTGGAGATCCTGATGGAGAAGAAGAAGAAGAAGAAGATGTAGGTGAAGATGAACTCCAAAATGACCTGCAGGACAGGACATGGAGGTACTTAGCCACACACTCAGTCAAGCTTTTTCTCTTTAGTTGGGAAAAAGAAAAGAACAAGGTTAGGGGACAGTGCATAAGTGCTTTAAAGGCATCAAAACCAGCTGTTTACATGTGTTTCTGAGCACCTGCCACATCAGTGGTTTTTTTTTTTTTTTTTTGGTGTTGTTGTTTTTTGTTTATTACAGAACTTAGGTCCAAACCCATTGCCTTGTGATTGATACTCAAGCGTTCTACAACTGAATTAAATCTCCAACCGCCACATGAGATAATTTTAATGGTGTCACTAATGTTATGGACTGATTGGTGTCCTTAAACTCATTTGGAAAAGCCCTAAGCCCAGGTGATTGTATTTAGACATTGAGCCTTTAAGGGACCACAGTATTGAAATTAAGAGAAGGCATGAGTGAGGTCCTTAATCCACCATGTTATCTATGAAGGCCAAAGAGGACTCAGACCCCCTTCAGCTTAGGGCCACCAGGTGTGGGTTCTGGGAACCAAACTCACTTTTTCTGGAAGACAAGTACATGATCTGAATGGAGGAGCCATCTCTCCAGCCCCTTTAAGAACAATTACCTTTATTTACTGGGACATGATCAATTTGTCTAGACTGAATGACCAGAGAACACCAAGGATCCTCATGACTCTGCATCCCCAGAGACTAGAGACTATGTGCAGCACCTGACTCTTCTATGTGGACTCTAGAAGACTGCACTCAGTTCCAATGATTGCATGGCAAACACTCTACCAACTTAGCCACATCCACAGTCCCCTTCAGGACATTGTAGTGTGTCAACAGGGAGAATCTACTATTGTCCTCACGATACAGTGCGGTCATGTGAGAGTTCACAGGGAGTGTCACACACCAAGAAAGCTCTCATGGGAAAGAACAATTATTCTGATACAAGTTAACAATCAGGAAGATGCTGTTCAGGACAGTTGCTCTAAAGAAAGAGACAGAAGAGTTCTGGATATACATTCAGCTGGGGACTCTAGAGGACAAGGTGAGTGAGGGGCAGTAGACAGCAGAGAGTAGGGGCCCTGTGCAGCTGACCTCAGGAATCCCTCCTGAGGGAAGTCAAGACCTAAGGCTCTGGAATTTAGACATGGGAACCTGATTGAGTATTGAGTATCAAAGGTAGGACAGTCTCACAACCTGACAGGATTCTTGACAAGCCTGGGCAGGGCACACCCATCATGTACAGGAAAGGCATGGAAAGCCAAGGTCAATTCACACTTGAAGGCAGTTTAGAAAAGCTTAAGTAAAGATGACCTAAGGCAAAATAGTTGTCAACATAAGCCTCTGTGTCCAGACTTTTGTAGGGCCTTAATCATATACACAGCTCCAGGAGGGACCCAGGGTCTCCCTTCCTCCTGGAGTCCATGCCATTATTGTCTAGTTCCACTGCAAGCAGAAATGACAGCAAAATACCACCACGCATTACCTTTCTCATGTGGAGAATACAGTCTGAGGACTGCTAGGGAAATACATGTTTTGAATTCTCAGTTTTGTCTGCTACTGAAACACTTATAGAGGCACAGTGAGATTTCTTGGGAATGGACACACAGGTAAATGAGGAATCCACTCAGGTTTCTTTGTCTTCTGCTCACAGCTGGAAAAGAACTTTCTGTGCTGTGTTTTGAGTGGATGTGTCTCAGCTGTGAGGTGCCCCACCAGATCACGTGTACACACCACTGCAGTGCAAAAAGACCTCTAACTTCAAAGAGTGGCCTGTATAGTGTTTCTCTCTCGGGGATGTGCAATTTACAGATTCTCAAAACCCAAGTCCCAAAGCAAAGGTGAACGTTGCTGACCAGCATGACATTCTGGGTACATAGGTATTGTATCAGCAACTAAGGCCATAGAAGGTTTTTCTTTGGGGAAAGTTAACTTTACCTATAACACTAATTTTCCCTAAAAGAAAGGGTTATTTTTTTCTCTAACCTCATTTCTCTGTTCTTGTTTAGAGTTCCTACAGAGAAGTATTTTGGTAGTGATAACACTGACTTTGAAAGGGAAGGCATCTTTACTAAATGTCTAGCAATAAAAAGGTGTGTTAAAGGCACAAGAGGTGCCTCAGTGGTTAAGAGCGCTGGCTGCTCTTCTAGGTGACCAAGGTCCAGTTCCCAGCAGCCTCTTGATGGATCTGAATAGACTGTAAAGACAGTCCTAGGGATCTGATGCCCTCCTCTGCCCTCCACTGGCACCAGGCATTCACAAGGCACACACACACACACACACACACACACACACACACACACACACACACACACACGTGTGTGTGTGTGTGCACCAATGCGCAGATAAAACACTAATACACATAAAATAAAAAATTGAAAAAACACATTAGGATGGGTTTTAACCCACTGTCTCTTTAACGATTAAAGACATTGTAGTGTGTCAAGTATTGTGATTGTCATAAGAGAGATCCTGTACAACTGTAACACTCTCGTTCATTCATTTCGTTCACAGAAAATGCTCTGTGGTTTCTACTGGACAGATCTTACCTACAAGCTGTCTTCCTCATTCAGTTGTCCTCTCCTGTCACAAGAAAAAGAAAGATGACTTGTGTGAAGCTCCTGCTAAGACCATAGTGGCTATTGATGTAGGTGATGACAACAAGGTCCAAAATTGTTGGACCTTGCAGGAGAAGAAAAGGTTTTTGGCAGTTTATCCTCAGGTGAAACTGGAGCTTGAGCAGCAGATCAGGAAGCTGCACGCCCTTGCAGACAAGATTGACAAGGTGCACAAGGACTGCACCATCTCACAAGTGGTGGCCAGCTCCACTAGTGCTGTGTCCGGAGTCCTGACGATCCTTGGTCTCGCTCTGGCACCGGTGACAGCAGGACTCAGTCTGGGACTTTCAGTCACAGGCTTGGGGCTGGGGGCGGCAGCAACAGTGACTAGTGTTTCTACAACCATTGTAGAAAAGGTTAGCACAGCGTCAATGGAAGCTAAAGCCAGCCAGCTGGTGACAACCAGCAAGAAAAAAGAAAAGGCCACTAAAGAAGTTTTGGAGAAGGGTACATCCAGGCTTGTTTCCTTATGTGAGAATTCTTTCATTAACCTGAAAGTCATCACGAAGAGCGTCAAGCAGGTCAAAACTAACTCTCACCTAGGAACTAGTACAAAGCATGTGAGCACCATAGGGAGGGTGTCATCCCAAAACACTAGACAGGTAGAGAAAGCAATTGAAGGCACTGCTCTGGCAATGTCCAAAGGAGCCCAGATCACAGGTGCAGCCGCTGCAGGTCTCTTTCTGGTGCTGGATGTGGTCAGCCTTGTGCAAGACTCAAAGCATTTGCACAAGGGTGCTAAGGCAGAGTCTGCGGCAAAGCTGCGGCAGCAGGCTCAGGACCTGGAGCAGAACTTGAAGGACCTCATCCAGTTTCATGCCATCCTGACAAAGTGACCTCTTCTTCAGTGCAGCTCAGAGGACTGGGGAATGGGGATGCTCTAGATAGACACCTGATAGCCCCTGACTGTATCCCCTCTACAGCAATGTCACCATGGTGGAAGTGCCTGCTAGAGGTGGAGGCCACAATAAGAGAAAGGAAGCCAGAACACAGATGGGACAGGCTTGGGACCTTCCACTAGATTGCACCTCTTAGATGCAACAACCTACCAATATCCCACATGAGAACCAAGCTCCCAAGCTGCGGAGCACATCCAAGGCTTGACTGAGCCACAGCATGGCTGCTCCTCAGTCCTGCCCACCACACTGCTCCTAGCTGAGGCTCACCATCCTCACTGTCCTCTGAGCTGCCAACTTTCATACTGCTTTCTGATTGGTTACATAGAGACCTTCTCCTCCTTTCTTACTTCTACCTAATTCTGTATTTTTCCAAGTATTTCCAAATCTTACAATCAGACTCTGGATGGGAACTCCATTTCTTTGTTCATGATTTGGTCATGTGGAGTGATGGGTCTTTTGGTGAAATGTTCAGAGAGTAGAAAGGAAAGGATGCTGGGAATATCATCTGCATAGTCATCACAGGTTCTTGGTCCTAGTGCCAGCTGTGGATCCTACAAGGAAGGAAAGATGACAGGGTATGGCTGGTCAGTTCTGCTCTCTGCAACCAGATTCTGGGGAAATCACAAGGTTTAATTCCTATTGACTTTTAAAATCTGCTGAGATTGGATGAGATCTGCTGAGATGCACGTGAAGGGCTACACTTGCTCCATAGTATTTGAAGAGTAAACTTGTGAACACTGACCTGGTCATGCTTTATGTGTTTTCTGGATTATATGCTAACTATAAAAAGTTGATCATTGCCTCCTGATTTTTTTTATCATCTCCTCTTTTTAAAACTGTTCTCTTTCTTGTGGCTTAATAAAAATATTTGAAATTTATACAAGAAGCATTTCCTTCTCTTTGCTGCCCTCCCCTTCTGGCCGCAGATGCTCCCCTGAGGCTGCAACACAGAGTGGTGTCCCCTCCTCCCTTGCAGCTTAAGCACCTTCCTCCCAAGTTCTCACCAACAGAGACTGACAGATGACCTGAGCATAGTCTTGGTCTTGTCCTCTAGAGGAACATTCTTGTGTTCCACAGCCCCTCTGTTCTTCCTGGACTGGAATGTCTGCCTAAGGAAAAGCAGAATGTGGACAGAACCATCTCCCTGGGGTGCAGAGCAGGGACAGAATGGAGATCTGAATGAACATGGGAAAGAAAGCTACCTGCATCCTGAGCTGCCTAGCAACTTGTTCCTAGTGTCCAAGTTCATTGAGTCCTCTCTACTCTTGAGCCCATGTGTTGTGTTGGTGAACTCTGTGCCAGCTGCTCAGCATCTGTCCCTTAACTAACTCAAGAGCCATCACCAGAGCTCACCACACCCTTGACCTTGAACCCTGTGCTCTTTCCTGACATGTCAGTCTGGCCCTTTGGGACATAGATTATTGAAGAGTCTGTCCCTTTGTCTTTGCACTCCTCCAGGCTCTCAGGCCTCTGGGAACCACTGCACCACAGCCCTTTGAATGAATGAGCACTAGGTCTCCAGTGCCCAGTGTCCAGATAGATCCCTGCAGCCTTCCAGTCCAGGGCCACCTCACCTCCACAGTTCTATCCTCCTAAGAACACACCTTCCTTTATGAAGAAGACAAACAAGCCATGGTGGGTGTGGGGGGAGAATGGAGACAGCCTGTTGTCACTTCTCACAGAGACAGTGTAACTTTATGGGTGGTGAAGATATTCTAGTAGGTAGCAGAATATTTGAAAAAAGAGGTATATCTAAAAAGAACTTAAAATGAATTTATGTGATATAAAAATGTGCCTCATGTTTTGAAGTTGCTCTTAACAAAAGAAAAGGCTATGGAAATAGAGTAGGAGAGTCTCAGAGATGAGTAGAGGCCCCTGAAAGGGCCAGGAGAGATGGACAGAGTGAAGGAAAGACAGTTCAGAGGAGGAGCTGTGACCAGGTCTGTCCCTGCCGAACACGAGTGACAGGAAACAGGACTGTACCTGAAGCTGCTGCTCTTGGAGGGGTACTGCATTCAGTTCAGGCTCTGAGGGTGTCCTGGGATGTGGGGAAGACTACGACGTTCCCTCATGTTGAACTGTGATTCCTCAGCCACTAAAAGGGAAGAACTAATGGTGCCCACAGCATTGCAGATGGTGGTCAATGGCATGTGCTTAGTCAAAACAGAGTCAATTGTAATGGGTTATAACATCTGTGATTCCAGTTATAAAGATTAACCATTAAAATGAAAAAGGATGGATGAAGTGAAGAGTTGGGCAGTTGCTTTGGGAATAGAGAAGATACAGGACCCCCAAAGATTAACACCAGGATGACACTTTGTGGTGATAGAAAATTCTTGACCTTGATGGTCACAATGGCTCTATGAACCCATATCTGTGATGAATAATCAAGGACTACTGTGAACACATGGTAATGACACAGTGAGAACCAGGGGAATTGAAGTGTGTCCTGAGGTCAAGCTCATTGGGCAGGCATGGCAAAGGACAGCAGTTTACCACAAGGCAGCCAGGGAGCACCAAAGAGTGACAGGAGGAGACACAGCCAAGGTGAACCATTCTATGACATGCTCAGAGCGACCCTTGTCTCTAAGAATACTGCACTTCCTAGTAGACATTTCAGAATTTTACTAGTCAATAAGTTAAATGACCCTATTCAGAGCCTTTCACAAGCAATCTCCGCAAAGAGACCCAGAGAGGCTAAGTAACAAGGAGGGCTCTAGGAGAGATACAGAGATCTCCCTGGAAAAGAGAAATAGAATAGATTTGTGAGTGGATTTGAGGGCAGGTGGGGATGGGAACAGGGGTTATCAGGTGGGAGAGGGAGGGGTGAAGGAGAGAGTACTAGGAGAGATGGCTGGAATAGGGGAGCATTTAAGTGGCAGAGTGGAAACCTAGAGCAGTTCAAACTTCCTGGAACCTATGAGGGTAACCCTAGAAAGGACTCTTAGAAATGGAGAATATGCAGCCTGAACCCGCCATCCCCTGTAACCCAGCAGTGGTGGGACTGGGACACCAATCCTGCCACAAACCTTTGACCCACAGCCTGTCCTGCTGGCAAGAAGCAGTGGGGCAATGGTGGCTCAGAGTTGGTGGGTGTGACCAACCAATAACTGATCTAACTTGAGGCCCAAGCCACAAGAGGGAGCCCATGCCCAACATCGCCTGGATGGGCAGGAACTGGAAGCTGCATGGCTCTCAGACCTAGGGTAGAACCAACATGACTGAAGAAAAAAAAAAAGTCAGTGAGCTGATTCCTAATGACAGTCTGCTATATCACAGGACCAGTGTCTAGCCCAACTGTCATCAGAGAGGCTTTCCCAGCAGCTGATGGGAGCAGATATAGAAACCCAAACATTAGGCAGAGCTCCTGGGACCCTGCAGAACAGGGAGAGGAAGGATTGTAGGAAACAGAGGGGTCAAGGACACAGGAGAACACAGCCCACAGAATCAACTAACCAGGGCTCAAAGGGCTCACAGAGACTAAAGAGTGTCAATAACAGAGCCTGCATGGGTCTGCTAAGGTCCTCAGCGGGCATGCTACGGTTGTTTAGCTTGGTGTTTTTGTGGAGTCCTAACAGATGGTGGAGTTGTTGCTCACACAGTAGGAATGCTGCACACACACACACACACACACACACACACACACACACACACACATCACAGTGCTTACAGTGGTGGGGAGATGTGTATTTTACCACAGCTTCAAAAATCTAATTTTGGGGGCTGGAGAGATGGCTGAGCGGTTAGGAGCACTGACTGCTCTTCCAAAGGACCTGGGTTCAATTCCCAGCACCCACATGGCAGCTCACAATTATCTGTAACTCCAGTTCTAGGGGACCAGACACCCTCACACAGACAAAACACCAATGCACATAAAATAAAAAATAAATAATAAATTAAAAATCTAATTTTTTTCTTTAAAACTTTATTCTTCTCTTATACACTACATCCTGATGACAGCCTCCCCTCCCTCTCCTTATCCCAGTCCCCCCCCCATACTTTCCCTCTCCCTCAGATCCACTGCTCCTCCACTTCCCTTCAGGAAAGAGCAGGCCTCCCAGTGATATCAACCAAACAAGGCATAACAAGATGCAATAAGACTAGGCACAAACTCTCATTTCAAGGCTGGAAGCAACCCAGTAGGAGGAAAGGGTCCCACAAGCAGGCAAAAGAATCAAAGACATGCCCTCTCCCACTGTTAGGACTCCACAACAACACTGGGTTAAAAAACCATAGCATGTCTGCCGAGAATCTTAGTAGACCCATGTAGGCTCTGTTATTGCCGCTTCAGTCTCTGGAAGCCCCTTTGAGCCCTGATTAGTTGATTCTGTGGGCTGTGTTCTCCTGGTGTCCTTGACCCTTCTGGCTCCTACAATCCTTCCTCTCCCTCTTCTGCAGGGTCCCAGGAGCTCTGCCTAGTGTTTGGGTTTCTACATCTGCTCCTATGTCTTCTAACTCAAGGGTACAGGTGGGTAGAATGGATGGTACCTTTAAAACTTGCTGCAGAGCTGCCTGGTGATGTGACTTTCATAACCAGTCCCCTCTCCCACTCAGGAATCTACTGAACATGAGGCCATGTCCTCTCCTTGACTGAACTTCGTAGGCAGCTTTCACAGTAATCAGCAGAAAGTCTTCGGTGTGATTTCCCACTCGTCTGGGTTAACTCTGGGTCATCTTATTCTGGTTTAATCCAAAAGCTACTATCTTCACTCAGCAAATGTGCCTGGTGCTCCTGATGATCACACATGCAGCAAACTGAGGGTAAAGTCATCTGCGCTTCAACACAAAATATTACATTGATGGGTTAGACTCTGTTCTCCTTATGTGCAGTTCTACAATTGGTCATAGAACAAAGGCTGAGAAGTTATATTTGCACTTGGATCTACAACTTGGAACCTTCCTGAAATGACACTTGTTATCTAGGGTCAGATTTTTCCCTAATGAGCAAAGACAAGTCAGATTTTCTTGGGGTACAAGGGGCCAGACTATAATCATCTGGGAGCAGTGGCTGTCCATCACTCCCAGGAAGGAATTCAGGGCCATCAAGACAGCATGCTTACTCTCTTCCCTGTGCTTTGCATCATGGGAGGTTTGTCTATCCTGACCAGAAAGATGATTTCAGAAGCCACCAATTACATGCTCATTAGGAAGATTCCAGCCCCTAGAGAAAGGAGACCAGCAGAGAGGTGAATGCTGTTCTGGGGCCATGCCTCTTCTCCAGTGTATGGACTGTGATAGAGTGGCCAGACATCTTGGCTGCTGACCTCTCCACTAGGTGATGCTGGTGTCCACACAACTCCACTTAGAACTCTTTCAGCAAATGTTTCCCATTGCATCAAAGTCACATTCCATTGGGCTAAAATTACCTCTAGATCATCCCCAACTCTTAAGTGACCACCACCCTGAGTGACATTTCTTGGCATGTCACACACTGGTCGACTGAGCTGTTCTTTTAGCAGATCTTCAGGATGTTCAGGTGGGACAGACCCAAGGTTAGAGACCCCTACGCCACTTCCCCAGCATGTGAGTCTGCAGCTCCATCCTACTGCTCAACCCAGAGACTATTCAAGAGTCTGTGAACACTCCAGTCTATTCTGTACTATGTAGAGGGTCCACATCACTGCCAGCCTGCAGCTCATGTGGACCCTTTCATGGTCCTACATCTCACTGATGTTCTCTGACTGTCTAGCTAAAGTCATGTGAATAAAAGCGAACAGATTTCAGTGCTAGAGAACTTGTCAAAATAAATATG